ACACGCTAGTTCCCAGCTTTTACGGCGGCACAGTTCTAGCTCTTATTTACTCCACGTACAGTGAATCCCAATCTTAGTGTCACGGTCAGCGCTGCTGGGATCCTCGCGAGCCGCTTCGCTTTGGTCTCGCGCCGCGTTCCTCCTTGCCGAACGTGACACTCAGATTGGAATGTCCTGTGCGCGGCTTTTTGCCTCTCAGTATTATAAGTAAGCTCCTGTAAATTATCATTTCTTCAGATTCGTCCATAGAGATGCAGAACGTAACTCGTTCGGAGAGCTAAGAAAAAGGGTGTTTCTAAATTCTGGAGAGCAGGCTTTGTTGAGATATTATAGAAGCCAGGAGGCTGATAATGCCAGAGAACAGGTTAGATGTACTACTCTGCAGTATACATTTTATGACAGTTTTTTAGGGAACCTCACAGCACAACCAAATGTTCATGGGGGAAAGAGAAAGCTTCAATAGAATGCACGCGCGAGAAGATGATCATCAGCACTCCGCGTCTGAAGAGGTTGAGGTCAAAGAAGAATCTCGGCCTGCTGACTTGTCCGATGACTGTGTTATTGTAAGAACTGACATTTTTACACTTCCTCTATCTGCTAACGCTCTCTTTCCTTCAGGAGGAACTAACGGGTTTTGATGAAGATGAATCCAATGACAATGGTCGCATAGATGTGGACAGTCCAACTTGCCCGTTCTCACATGCTTGTGAATCTAGTTCTGAAGCAATGAATGAGTTACGCCTGTTGTGTATGGTACGTTATTCTCGTTTATCAGCTTTTTTTCGAACTTTGGTACTACATTTTTTATATTTTGCTTTTGAGGTCTCAAAATTCCATAGTTTTTTGTTTTCGATTAATTTGAAGAATTGAGCTCGATATAAGACTAGTTGCACCACTGAAAAGTTTTGTCCCAAGTGAATGTGCAATTGTGATATGGAAGGTGTTATAATTTTTATGGAAAATTGAGATCTTATCAAGATATCATTTTCTTTTGAAGCTTTTTTTTGGTAATTTGACTTGTAGCCTTGATTTTTTACATGGTCGTAGTAGTTTTGTATCTTCTAAATTTTTAGTGTGGTAGTAATATCAACAATAATTTTGAAAAACACCAATTTCAAGTGCCAATATCATCTCCTAGCTTTCTTGTCTATATTTCTACTCTGGAAAAAAATTTATCTATAGCTAAGCCTCAGATAAATTTCCAAAATTAAGTGTGGAGTCATGCAATGTATATGTTTGGAGTGTATCCAACTTTGTTTAGGAACAGCGACAATTCTTCCGAGAAATGACAGAAATGGCCCAAGAAGTCTGCTCATTTGTTCGCTTGGCCAAAGAGCAATTATTGGAACGGTCATCTGCCAATTGTTCGCTTGGCACTAAGGCTATGTCAAGTGCGTGGAAGTCCAAAATAGCTAAATCTTTGTTGTAATTATGGTTTCGATTTTGATCGAAAATTTGTAGATTTGTTGATTTTGTTGTTATGTCTGTAACTTGAAGTCAGAAATGTTATTGTTTTGTCTTGGATATCTTTTTCCATTTAGCTTTAGATAGATGGGTGCCTAGAAGCTATATAGGGTATCGTTATTGATAAAGTTATGAATTTTGATGCTACCTTTGCCATTCTATAAAACTGACAGTGAATAGCCCGGCCACCTTCGGAAACGAAGCATTAGGTCGTTCCATAAGTTTGTAGCATTTTCATAAACTCACGAAATGAGAAAACTTTGTCAAAAAATCAGTTGATAATATATTTTATGCTGTTGAGCGCAAACCTCCTCCCACCTTGTCATCAAATTTTCAACTTTGTTTTTTCCAAAACTCAGCACGTCTGGTCTCAAACGAGTAGTCTAACCAGCGCCGAAGATCCTCTAGAATCGCAACAAGCACCGTTTATACGGTTTGCAAGAGAACGGGACAAATGATCATCTGGTAGGCCGAAATCTAAGAAGTACATCGGATACTAGTATGTCTCTCAGTCAAGTCTTGCAAGACAGTTTTGAGGACGTTTGCCGTACGAAGCCATATTTCGCAGAAAAACTCCTGGACCTGTATCAAAGTCATTTTTGCAGCAAAGCTACATTTAGGTGCCAAAAATCTCATCAAATGCTCTGGTAAAAGCTTGGCAAAATGGACCATTTACGCAACCAATACTTTTTGGCGCGCGTTTTTGTACAGTAATAAACTTTTGATCACTTTTTTGGGCCTAAGTTCATGGTTTGCACATTTACTTGCCATAAACATCCACGAGCCTGCAAAAAGTGGAATTACGGACCCAATTTTGGGGACCAAAAGCCAGGTGGGTCCGATTGGCGCGCATTTTTTGAGGGATCCACACACGGATCCGCTCGTGCTTTTGTATACTGGACTCTCAATTTGGTAGCATGCGCTTTGCAAAATTTGAGCTCAGGACGTTGGCTGGAACACGCTCTACGAATTTCACACACCACACACACACACACACACACACACACACACACACACACACACACACACACACACACACACACACACACACACACACACACACACACACACACACACACACACACACACACACACACACACACACACACACACACACACACACACACACACACACACACACACACACACACACACACACACACACACACACACACACACACACACACACACACACACACACACACCACACACACACACACACACACACACACACACACCACACACCACACACACACACACACACACACAAACGTAAGCAACCCTTAGCCCGTTATTATAAGTTATGATCAAAGTGCAGGCATATCTTTTTTGGGACACCCTGTATATTTACTTGCAAATACAATACAATAGGGGGGCTTTGTTTCAAAACTCCTCGGTCTCAGCTTGTGGACAGCCCCGCTAGTCAGTATTTCCAACCCAGCTCTTCAAATGAAAAAGGAAAACAAGTAAGACTTTTAAAGAAATACAACAGCAACAATATATGCTGTAACAATAACTGTCGCCACTAAAACACGCAGAGTTTTTTTTTCATTCTTAGCGCAAAATATTGATAAAAGAGCTAATGGTCTAACACCTGTTTCAAGAACAGTATGTTATACTTTACTTGAACTAAAAATGTATCGCTTTTATGAATAGGATCCTAACACATAGCTGCGGCCTAAGTTTTCTCGCGAACAAACAATTATCGAATTATCAAAACTTGAAATTATTTCCCAATTATAATGTTTTTTAAAAGCTTGAAATCAAGTAAGTGTAATGGCATGCATTAAAATGAGAAGTAGAGTTCAGAAAGTTATGACCTTTTAATTTGATCTAATTCAGAAAGTTAGGTGGTCAATATTCAGTACTGCTTTTCCAATGGAACTAAGTCGGCGTTCGCCTGAATATTAAATGCATACAACCGTATGAAGATCCTTTTACCCTCTGGACCTTCTGGACGAAATTTTGCATGATTTGTTTTGAAAAGAGTATCAGTTCTGTCATATTTAAGCTGCCAACTGCAACCCTAAATTGGAATATTTTGAATAAGCTTCCCAAATATCAGAGCAAGACCTATCGAATGACCTATATCAAAAGGTCAAAATTGGAGATTACTTCTAATTTTCAAAAGTTTTTTAAAACTTTCATTTCTTCTAAAGCATTAGAGAATATAGCCTTACGAACACCCCCGAATGCGAACAACAACATGGTTGAAGGAAGTGCCATGTTTTTCTTCTAAATTTGACAGCATTATTACACAATATAACTAGTAATATTAATGTTAACATATGATCATGAGATGATCTCTGCAGTCATCCAGTGCTTCTTTTCAACACAAGAAAAGGTGATTTTCTACTGTCGGAGCCAGGGCCCGGTACAGATCGTCTGGAAGCAGCTGGACTTCGTTTTTGGAGCAAAAAGCAAAAAGGATATTGCCTTTGCGGAGTCGGGGCCGAGCGCCGAGGATAAACCCATTTAATTAAAGCAAGCTTCTCGGGCAGGCTATTACGCGATTGACATGCTCTATCGTGTATGGCTAAAGGTGCGCGCGATTTGACAGCAAAGCTAAAATAAACAAATTGCTTGTTTACAGCGCACACAGAATCATATGACATTAAAATTGAACTGTATACATAGAAAATTACCTGCGGAAGAATTATGCAAAAATGTTTGAAAACTATTGTGAAGTAGTATTTTTTTCCAAAATTGCTCCGTCTCTAAACGGCTACTAGACAATCTGAGCTCGTCTGGAGCACATATTTCCGTCATTTCACACAAGTTTCGGATTTTTTTAGCATTGACGGATGCCCGGTCAGGAATCTATTCTTGAGCATAGGGACATTTTCATATCGCCCTCTGCCCACTGTTTTACCCTCTTTTCCTTCGAAATTCGCCTTGTTAGATATCGCGCCCCAGCATACTTTTTCTGCGTCCTCTCTCTTCGAAATTTCATTTTCAGTTCCAACTTTTTCCCATTATTTTGATGATTCTTTTCATTCTTCTTTCTTCTTTATCTTCTCTCTTCTGCTCGTGATCTATCTTGATCTGTTTTGTGACCATGTATGGCCTATGAGCAAAATCTGTGATTTTGTGACCTCTCTTTAAGAGTTTGACCTGAAATCACGAAATTTTCAAATCGCAGCAGGTAAATGGTTTTGTGGAGGACTAAGGCCCGTATGCACTAACATTTTTGCGGCGAGGGGAGCGGCGTCCCCCGTTATGAAGGGACCGCGTGCGGACGCCGCTGCGGCTTTTTCATCATTGGGGACGCCGCTCCCCTCGCCGCAGGGATGTTAGTGCATGCGGCCCTAAGTGAGTATGCGGGGGTTTTAAAGTCAAGGGGACTTCGTTTTCAAAAAGTCTAGAAACGGACTTGTGCCGGGCCCTGGGCGGAGCCCCTTCAACTTAAGAGCATTGATAGTTTGATCCATGCCTCAAATTCTTTTTTCATTTTTTGATAAGCCACTACGTTAGAGATCTTAGAGCATTTTGTGATGATCAAACACTAATCTTTTTGAAATAATTGAATTTATTTAGGTCATCCTAGTTTAACAGCAATGTTAAGGTACTCAAAACTTGTAACATAAATTATATGACGCGGATATACACAACAAAGTTTATCTGTACAGATAGCCTCTTCAATCATTCCGACAAAGATTCTTCTTTTGTCCTATGGCTCACATTATGAGGATCACGATAAAAATACAATGACTTCTGTCTCTTGTAGAGGTACTGCAGGGCCAACATTGTACCTTGTGATCCCATCACAATGGTAAAAATGTAGTGCCACGCCGTGGTGTGAGGAGTGTAAAGCGTGAGATATTGCAGAGCCTGAAAATTTCTCACAAATTGCACCTAAAATCAGCTTGTTCAAGAAAATTTTTATAAAAAAATAAGTGTCGGATCGCTGCTGAAATAAGAATTACGCGTCTCTCTTATTTGTTACAGCAAATCGTACTCACGACTAGTTCAAGCATGCACTCATGGTATTGATATTGGAAGCAATGAAATTTCCAAGAAACTGACCCATGGAGTGCCCATCGACAGCTGCATAAGGAAAACAGCACCGATTCTGGATGCAATTTGCGTTTGCTCTCGTCTTCTCATCTGAAAAGCAACGGGAGTAGAGAGTACTCAAGGTGAAAATGGCTTTTAATATATATCTCCGTTCCCAGCAAATCCTAACTAGGAATATAGAATAATAAAAGTTTTTTTAGCCAACCATATCTCCTTTTTCATATGGACGCTCGATCTTGACTACTCTTTAGAGATTTTTATATTAAAGTCAGGATGGAAGTGGTACAATAGTGGGTACCTAGCAAAGCGAATGCTTAGTAACGATGACAGATATAGCAGTACCTGTGAATGTAATGTGATAATGTTTTCTTATAGCTAAACATATCGCCCATGCGCAATGTTAAAGTTGCTTTGCACAACGCTCTACTTGCTGGGTCCTTAGTCTGTTGAAGGACATGATTTTGAGTGATGATAAGAAATTTCTGGTACAGACAGCTATTTTTTCGCTCACGTATGTTAAGCAGCTGCGTTTTCGGATTTTCAGTAGTCTCATCCCTTTTAGAAGATCGTCACCTTTATCACAAAAATGCAAATTTAGAAGCCCAAATCTTAAGCATTTTGAAATTGGATGAATCGAGCAGATCACGCCAAAATCAGGGATGCAGACTCGTTGGAAGAGTTTCCGTTAGACTGCAAGATGTGCGTACTTTTTTTAAAAGAGAAAACGACCTAAGCGTACGATTTTTGAAGCCTAGGTGGAATGGAAAAAAGCTTAACCTTATATGCGGGATTCTAGCGGTTAGTGCTGTTACAGGAGAGTGGGGCTGCCTGATCTAGGTCTGATGATGAGCCTTTTACTCCTTTGCATAAAAATTACAGAAGCCCGCTTTTGCTGCTATTCTTGTGTGCTACTTTTACTGTATGTCTTTTTCTAAAGGCACGCATGTATGTACAGGGTTGGGGGAAAGTCCTTGAACAATCTTTGATGTCCTTGTATGTTCGGTTTTTCCACAAATTTTTGTATGCTAATTATATATGTTTGGTTCTTATACTCTTGAGTAAAGCCCTCAAAAAACCGGACTACTAGCTTTTTCCCTATAGGAGATTCGCTTCTTTAATGGAGCAAGCGTTGGTTGAGAATATGCACAAAGAGAGGATTGCTGAGCAGCAAATTGCGAGGGCTCCCCAAATTTTACAGATCAGGATCTTTTCCACCTTGCGTCGTTTTCAGGACATGAACAGCACCCAGGACTGTTGTATGGGTGGTAAATTGGCTATTGCGGACAGTAACGAAGTCCTGAAAATCGTTCGCCAACGCCTTCGTCGCAATCCTTGACGAAGCTTGATTGAGCTGGCTTCAGAGCTGTCCATCTCTGGCAGGACAGTTTCCGACATCGTAAAAGAGGGCCTTGCGATGAAGCTTTTCAGGATACTAAATTTCATGCTTTTTGGGAGGACATGAAGCTGAATTGACTGCGCAGATGCCATCGACTTCTTGAACGTTTCTCCAAGACACGCCATCGATCTACACTCTTTTCTGACGTCAAAATTTTTATCGTGAGGAAAGTTTTTGATCGCCAACTAACAGAATCATCACCTGATCGCCCCCAGAAGTCGATAGCAAGGGTTGACTCGCAGAAGGAAGTTCTCATCCGGCTTCTGAAATGGTTTGCGCGGCGATTGCTTTCGACATCAAGATGCTGGCGATTTTTATGTCTCAGGACATCGAGGTGGACACCGCTACGCACGTGGATAGCATCCTGAAGAAGGGATTGTTGACCTGGACCAATAACCATTTTGCCAGGAGTGACAGGTTTCCTCAGCAGGATAGCGCACCTGCGCACAAAGCGAAGTTTGTTCAAGCATGGCTCCAAAGCAACATCAAGGAGTTCATTACTCCTACGGAATGGCCTCCGTATGGCCGGATCTGAATACCCCGACTACAGTGTGTGGTCAGTTCTTTAGGCCAAAGCCTGCGCTCACCCTGCAAGACAGTAAAGTCTCTGCGACTTGCTCTTCAGAAGGCGTTGGAAGAAATCGACGTGAAACACCTCCGAGCCACCTTGGACAGCGTTCTCAAGCTTTTCCGAGCCTGTGCTCGTATCAAAGGAGGAATCTTCGAATTGTAAAGGCAGTTTTGTGTACCAGACAGTTGAGTAAACATTACCTATTGATTTCATGTAATCATTTTGCCTCTTCATCATTACGTTAAAAATACCGTGTTCAAAGACTTTCTCCCAACCATGTATGTCAACAATAAGACAAATTTCGTATATAACTCTCTTCGCTAAAAGATTTCAAACACCTAGAAATTACCTAGAACTTACCGATCTGCTAAATCTCCTTCTTCCAAATACACGTCTGCATATGACAGTTGTGCAGATTATAGCGTTTAAAATCATGACTGATGTTGGTAAGACGACAGCGTAGACAACATAATCTGGTCGTACCCAGCAGAAGCAATCACCTCGTTGGAAAAAATCACTTAGTGTGACTAGCAGTAACGATGCAACAAAGGGAGGCACTGCAATTGAAAATGTACAAACGATGTTTTTGAGCCTGTCATTTAAGGGACACGCATGGGAAAATGTAGTGTATCTGAAGTAAAAGAAAACCGTACATAAATGAAACTGCGAAGTGCTTACGAAGGCTGATGATGATAGCAGATGACGGTAAGATGATTACTTTTACCCATGGACCGGTCAAAATAGCAAACGCGGTTGTGAGCCTAAGCGCTTGGAAGATTGTGAGCAGAACAGAACTGAAACAATTTGCTAGCGTCTTCACCATTTTATATAGAGATGCTCCTCACCTCATTAGCAGCATATATGCTATCGAAGCAAACACGCTGCATCCCTTTCCGGACACTGCTTCATCGGAAAATATGGTGAACACAATGTAGAAGAGAAACATTGCCGCTTTATGAGAAAGGCAGACAAGGTCTCTTGTTGGCGGTGCATAACCTCGTAGATAAAGAATAACATGGTTACCAACAAGAGCAGGCCAGCTAGAATTGTTCTTCTCTTATATAGCACCTGTTAACGCGAGGTGAAAACTCACTAAGCAGAAGCAGACATAACCGTTAAAAACAACAGTGATGCTATGGATAAAGTGTTCACGGTGTAGCCCAAATTATACAGAGCTTTGTTACACATACTGGGATCGTTGAGTGCTGCATCCTGGGTAAAAATGCCAAGATTAGGGTGCAGCTAAATCCTGTTTTTAATGATTAATGGTTGGTATCTGTCCTATCGCTTTCTGGTTAAAACTTCCGCATCCCTCCGCATTCTGCACTACGTAACAACAGATATTTACCACTATTAGTGCGAAATCCGTTAGATGATTACAACTAGCAACAAGTTTGCCTCCTTCTACTGCTGTTTCGCACTGATTTGATGTTGACCATTCTAGCAATTCGGTGTCCCACCAAGTTACACGGAAGTGACCGTGAAGTGGTCGTAGTGTCTGGAATATTGGAAATTCACTCATGTGCAAATATCAAAACGAATGAACAGTTTAGGCTGGAATAGACTTTCCCTCACTTTGTTTCACTTTCATGTGAGCTGCTGCTACTCTATTTTCAAGTATATAAGCTGCGAAGGATTTTTTCAAATCGATCAGCCCAAACACGCCAAAGGACTTCGCAACCATACGACCCTATTCCGTGCTGCGTATTGGATGAATGAATTGTGCGACATAAGGATTGCTCTCCGAGACAACTGAGCAGCTCGCTTGAAATTTCCAAAAATAAGCGGCTTATACACGTGAAAATAGGGTACGTATCCTTTTGTGGCGCACACAATATGCCGTGTGAGCACCCTCATAACGTTATGTTCTACGTGCTATGCTAATATGAAATGCCCATTTTGTTTTTAGGGTGCTAACGATAAGACTAATTCAAAATGCCACATGTAAAAATTCTTGCGAATTGTAAATTTGAAAAGAAGTTGGCAAAATAGAGATCTCGAAGGATTAAATTTTCTTCGTTTTACTTTTGTGTTATCACAGATAATATTGTACCAAAACTTTTCCTTGATGCCCGAATGCTACTGCCATCTTTATAAAGGCTAGATTCTTGAGAAACTAAAGTGAAACATTTGTTGGCTACAAAGTAATGATGACCGGTACAGCAAGAAAAGACTAAAAAAGCATTTTTTTAATAAAATTCGTAAAGAGCTCTTAGTACTTGGTACATTCCGCTCCCTGGCCATCTTTCCATCTTTTAGGAATGCTCTGCATAATCAAGTGAAAGACGCGAGAAGAAAACTGTAGACATCAAAATAGCAGGAGGAACTTTCTTCATGGAAGCCAAATGAAATATTTTTACTGCTACACGCATAAAGAGGCTTATGTAATTTATGTAATAGTAAATATTCATGTGAATTTTCTATTCGGCTTCTGAGTGAGTTGCATAAAAATCATTTTGAAGCTAATTTAAAACCACCTTCCCTTGGTGAAGCAAAATTATTACGGCTTGTTACTCTACATTCGAAAAGTAGTTCCAGAAGCGCTTCAAAGTATGACTCACATTTGTTAGACTGAAGTGAAGAGTAGCCATTACTGTTGTGCTTTGTGGATTTAGTAATGTGTTCTGAAATAAATGGTGTCATTAAATTGAAAATAACATGACTTCCATTCACACTGTCAACGATACTTATCCTTGTTTAGCTCCACAATCTTCTACGATATCTATCTCCCAGTGGCGCATCCAGGATTTCCGTTCGGGGGTGCGACAAAAATTTATTTCCGGATGAAGGTGCGTGGCGTTAGCCGCGCACTCCGAAATTTTTTTTGAAATGCTTCCCAAAATTTTTCCGGGCCCCTGACCCCAAAATTGCAGAAAAAAGGGGCGTAGCGACAGCCACGACCCCGAAAAATTTTTT